CGTTAAAGAGACAGCTTGGGGGAAGAGGAAAGATTCCAAGATCTGAGTCTGTTTCCACTGCTAACATGCCCTGGCTCTGAGATCCCAGACAGGTTGTGAAGCCTCCCCGAGTTCCAGCACCCTCCCTCTTGCGATCACTCAATGCGATGCTCATGGAGAGGGATCTGGTCAGTTCCCAACTGCTACTAAGGCCACAAGTCTGGGCTTAATTCACAGATGTGCCAGGGTATCCCTCATCTATTGCTGTGTAACAAACTACCCAGAACTTGGTGCTTTAAAACAACTGTGTGTTATTACTCCTGAGTGTGTGGGGCAGCTGCGCAATTCTGCTAATCTAGATAAAGTTGGTTAGGTTCCTTCGTGCGTCTGAAGTGGGTCTGGGTGACCAGCCATCCCCATTTGCCTGGGACTGAAGAGGTTCCTGGGGTATTGGACTTTCAGTTTTAAAGTTAGGAAAAGTCCTGGGTGAAAGGGGATGAGTTGGTCACCCTAGGGTAGCTGGTGGATCAGTTGAAGGCTGATTGTTTTCTGAGACAAAGGGCTGAGATGGCGTGGGTCAGGGTAGACTGGGCCATGTGTCTCATGTCATCCAGTAAACTAGCCTGGGCTTGTTCACCTGGGCAGCTGAGCAAAGTTCCAAGAGAACAGGCAGGCATGAGCAAGGTTTCTTGAAGCCTGAGCTCAGAATTCACATATCACAACTTTGCCTCATCCTATTGATCAAAGCAGGTCACAGGGTGAGCCTAGATTTAACAGATGGGGAAATGGGCTCCACCTCCTACGGGAAGAGCTACAGAGTCACATTGCAAAGGGGTGTGGATATAAGGGCGGAAGAATTGTGTTCATTTTGCGGTGAATCTACTGAAAGCAGGAAGAGTTTTGCTTTCTGCAGCAGTCAGATGCCATATCACCCAGCTACCAAGATGCCAGGAGCAAGAGTGTGATGATGTAATAGATGCTCCTCTATGTGCCTAGCTTTCTCTCCTCTCCGTTTAGTCCATGTGGTCCCAGTAAATAGAGTTCCACTTTTTGCCAGGCCAACTTTTCACTTTGGGAAGGCAGCTTGCAGTCCCTTCCTCCAGAAAGACCACCATGACCTCCATACTGGTTTGGTATCCCCCTATACCCCTGGATCACCATGTCATTCTGCCACAACCCTCTGCTTCCCTATATCACAGCACCCACCACCAGGTACTGACCTTGTGAGGACTGGGAGCTCCTTGACCTTGGAGATAATCAGATTTGTTTCTGTACCCCAGCACCCCAGTGAGGGGCTGCCACATATAGGTGCTTAGGGGATTGCTGAGGGATGGCTTGAGGTCCAGCTGGAATGGAAGCCCCAAAATCTTTGTTCTGTCCCCTCTACTCAGACCCAGAGCTCATCGCAGGCTCCTTCCAGCAGCAGACATCAGCATCATCCTGCTCCTGCCTGCCAGGCACAAGACAATGATCTAACCATGGCCCCAGTTCTGCAAACCAGCTGGTGGTTTCTCCGTCCTTGACACTGTCTAGGGTGCACAGGGAACCAAGTTAATGATGTGGGTGTCAGTGTGGAAGTCAAACCAGAGTCAGGCTGTGCCTGCTATGAAGGTATGACTCATTTTCTTAAATCTCTACATGTGTCCAGGCTAGGTGTCCCAGCTATGGTTTTGCAGGCCCTGTAGACACAGAAGGAGCCTGGTTTAGAGAGGGGAGGGTCAGATAAACCTGGGGGTATCCTCCACTTGTCCTTCACCCTCAACCCCACACCAAGTATCTCTCTGTGTCCTGACTCTTCCCCTCGTACCCTGCCCCCTTCACCTCCAGCCTGGCTACCAACCCTGCTCAGGCCCCATTCCCTTCACCTGTAGGCTTCTGGCAGTCGGAGGAGGCACTTTCTAAAATACACGAGAACGTGGTGATCAACAGCAAGATCCAGGAGCCGGACTACCTAGTTTCTGCTACTCCTGGCTAGGCAGCCTTGGGCAATTTTCTTAACTTTTCTGTGTCTCCTCATTTTCTTTATTTGTAACTAGGGATAATGATAGTATCTGTATCTAGGTTGCTCTGTGGATTAGTTGAGGTGATATGTATAAGTGTGCACTTAGAATATTCTCTAGTACAGAGTTAGTTGCTCAATACATGTTAACCATCCTTGTTATCATCTCTGTCCTACCTCAGACCCTTCAACGGGTCCCCACTGGCCATAAGATAAAGGTTGAACTCCTGTCACAAAGACCAGCCCGTTGTTCTTTATCCTTCTCCCTTCTTCCCACCGTGAAAAAAGATATAATGCTTGGAGGTGTGGCAACCACCCTGCAACCATGCAGAAAATGCTAAGTATGTCAGAGTTCAAATGTGAAAGGAGCCTGGGCTTTGATAACTGTAGAACTGCTGTGCTGGCCTGAACTGCCTCTCCCCAGACTACTCTTTATGCAACAAATAAACTCCACTTGTTCAATGGGTGAATAAAACATTCTGGCTTCTCTGCCTGGCATTCATGAGCCTCTAAGAGTCCCTGTTCCCTCTGCAGCCTCGTTTCTGAAATGATACCCCGCCCTCCACTTTCCTGCTTTATGTTCTAGCCATACTGAACTCCATGGAAATTCTTCTGCACACCATGGTTTTGTGCCTCTCAACCATTGTTCATGCTTTTCTCACTCTTCTTCTGTTTGGAACTTCCTGGTGCACTGTCAGCTGTTTTCTGCCTGGCAAACGCCTCTGCTTCAAAGCCCTGCACTGATTCTGCCTCTCTAAGAAGCTGTAACTGACCTCTTCACCCATTCTGGGCAAATTAATCACCACATGCCTACAAAATTGAGGTAGACCAACTGAATGCAGTTTCCACTTCTGCCACTTACTAGTAATTCTGATCTCTCTGTGCCTTACTTTCCTCGTGAATTAAATGAAGCAAATAATAGGGTTTTATGAAGATTAAATAAGGTAATAAGTGTCAATAATTTAGAATAGCCAACAGTAAGCACTCAATAAGTGTTTATTATCATCATCCTAATCATGGATATTCTTAAGCTTCCAGATCTATAATTCCCACTTGTGCATAAACCTTTCAAGGGCAGGGACTATATGATTCATCTCTGAATCCCCTACCCAAGCATAGTACCTGGCATTGAATGGGCATTGGGAAATGATGGCTGAATTTGCTGATGAAAGCCTCTTAAAAAGAGAACATGCTCTATGCCCTTGGCATTTCCAGAAATGGAGCCGGTGGGGTCCAGAAGACAAAATAGCTTCATCTTTCTGCTATGGAAGTTTCTCACTACAATCACTAGCAGAGCATGTCTTGACTTATATCAAGTCAAAAGAGATAATAAAAGTAAAAGACCCCCATAGAGTGTCAAGTGTGATTCACTGCTGCCCACACCACTGCTGCTACTGGTGGTGATGATTAGTGGCTGAGACATGCAGTAGAACCTGCTCTGGGTCTCTTCAGGACCCTAAGGACCCTCCCTATTCAGAATGAAGGTAAGTCTAATGTGGTGTCAAAGAAAAAGTTAGGCAGGCCTCATATAGACCAATGGAACAGAATAGAGAACCCAGAAATAAAGCCAAATACTTACAGTCAACTGATCTTCAACAAAGCAAACAACAACATAAAGTAGGGAAAGAACACCCTATTCAACAAATGGCGCTTGGATAATTGTCAAGTCACATGTAGAAGAATAAACTGGATCCTCATCTCTCACCTTATACAAAAATCAACACAGGATTGATCGAAGACTTCAACCTAAGACCTGAAATAATAAAAATTCTCAAAGGTAACTTTGGAAAAACCCTTCTACATATTGGCTAAGAACCCAAAAGCAAATGCAACAAGAACAAAGATAAGTAGATAGGACCTAATTAAACCAAAAATCTTCTGCACAGCAAAAGAAATAATCAGCAGAATAAACAAACAACCCACAGTGTAGGAGAAAATCTCCTCAACTATACATCCTACAAAGGACTAATACTCAGAATCTACAAGGAACTCTAACAAATCAGCAAGAACAAAACAAACAATTCCATCAAAAAGTGGGCTAAGAACATGTATAGACAATTCTCAAAAGAAGATATACAAAGGGCCAACAAACATATGAAAAGCTGCTCAACATCACTAATGATCAGGGAAATGCAAATGAAAACCACAAGGCAATACTGCCTTACTCCTGCAAGAATGTCCATAATCAAAACATCAAAAAGTAATAGATATTGGCATGGATGTAGTGAAAAGGGAATACTTTTATGCTGCTGGTGGGAATGTAAACTAGTACAACCACTATGGAAAATAGTGTGGAGATTCCTTGAAGAACTAAAAGTAGAACTACCATTTAATCCAGCAGTCCCAGTCCTGGGTATCTGCCCAGAGAAAAATAAGTCATTATACGAAAAAGATACTTGTACAAGCATGTTTATAGCAGCACAATTCACAATTGCAAAAATCTGAAACCAACCCAAATGCTCATCAATCAATGAGTGGATAAAGAAAATGTGATGCATGTATATACATACACACACACACACACACACACACGAGCACGTATATATAGTATTAGTCCATTTTCATGTTGCTGATACAGTCATACCCAAGAGTGGGAACAAAAAGAGGTTTAATTGGACTTACAGTTCCACATGGCTGGGAGACCTCAGAATCATGGCAGGAGGTGAAAGGCACTTCTGACATGGTGGCTGCAAGAGAAAATGAGGAAGAAGCAAAAGCAGAAACCCCTGATAAACCCATCAGATCTTGTGAGACTTATTCACTATCATGAGAACAGCACGGGAAAGATCAGCCCCCATGATCTGAGTACCTCCTGCTGTGTCCCTCCCATAACACATGGGAATTCTGGAAGATACGATTCAAGTTGAGATTTGAGTGGGGACACAGCCAAACTGTGCCATATATATATATAAAATATGAGAGATATATCCCATGGAATATATTCCATGAATATGAATATATGTATATACATATATATACACACACACACACACATACATACATACCTTGGAATACTACTCAGCCATGAAAAGAAATGAAATAATGGCATTTGCAGCAACCATTGTGGAGTTGGAGACCATTATTCTAAGTGAAGAAACTCGGGAATGGAAACCAGACATCGTATGTTCTCACTCATAAATGGGAGCTAAGCTATGAGGACGCAAAGGCATAAGAATGGTACAATGGACTTTGGGGGCTCAGGGGAAAGGGTGGAAGGGGTGTGAGGAATAAAAAACTACACATTGGGTATAGTGTGCACTGCTTGGGTGATGGGTGCACCAAAATCTCAGAAATCACCACTAAAAAACTTATTCATCTAACCAAACACCACCTGTTCCCCAAAAAAATAATTTAAAAAAGTTTGGCAGGCCTCCATTGTTTCTTGGCTATGTGGCCTGTACAAGTGATTTCAGCTTATTGAGCTTCAGTTTCCACACCTGTTAAAATGAGTTTATAGCATAGGATTGTTATGAATATTAAATGTGGCAGCAAATGTGAAGCACCTAGCATAGTGCCTGGCCTGCAGTAAGTGCTCAACAAATGTCCCTTCCCCTTTCCTTCTCTTGCTCTCCCTCTCACCCGTGTCCTCTCAGATTGTCTGTGCCATTGGGCAGAGGGAAATTCTCTCCTCCCAATAAACCGGTATGTGGGGTCAGGTGTGTGGTAAGCAGACTGGTTCTCTACATTAAACATGCTGCCTTCACTCAGGGACCTTTTAGGCAGAAGGGCCATGTTTATGCATATATGTGCAACCTGCTTTTCCTGCAGCATAGCTCGGGCCTGCAAAAATAGCTCCATCAGAGCTGAAGAGTCAGCCAGTCTTGTATGAACATGGACTATAGATCCTCATGTGGGCCCGTGTCCACTTGACCAGGCTGCATGGCTCAGCATGCTGTGCAGCAGATGAACAGCTGGCCCAGAGAGTTCCCAATGGGCTCTTGCACACTGCCCAGGAGCCAGGAGGGAGACCTTCCAGGATCTGCCACCTGGTGCCAGGGAGCAGTGAGCCCAAAAGCCCAACAACTAGATCAGACGGGTGACTGGGCAGCCAGGGAATGTGGAGGAGGACTCGAAAGGTGTCCAGAGCTTGCCATGTCATCTCTCCCAGACCTAGCTTCCTCATCTGCAAAATAAGGCTGAAGAAAATTAAATACGTTTTGGGATTCCAGTAGAGCTAGAAAATAATACTTATCTTCCTGGCCTAAATTCAAAATTAGTTGAGACATAGAGGAGTCAGACAGATAACAATAATAAATAAAATAAGTAAATAAATAAATAAATAAATAAATAAATAAATAAATAAAAACAGCAAATACTTTTATAGCATCATCACCGCTAGTTAAGCATTAATACTTATTTCGCATTTCCTATTTGTCGAAGCTCTTTATGATGTTCTAATCTGAGCCCTTTATGATGTTAACTAATACAACAGTCCTATAAGGTAGGTACTATTCTTATCCCCATTTTATGGATGAAGAAACCAAGGTACTGAAAGTTTAATTAATTTGCCCCATATCACAGAACTAGTAATTGGCAGACTAGGATTTAATGCCAGGTGGTCTGACTTCCAAGGCCATGATCTTGACCACTGTCCTGCACCAATTACCATGGAAAGCCCACAGGGCAGCTTTAGATCTGCACACAGGGTCTTGCTAACACTTCGACCTATAGTTAGACTTGGCCATCCTGTCAAGGAGAGGAGAAGAGCTTTGCTTTCCATAGGCCACCTCATAGGCCATACAGGGGGTATTGGGTGAGGCAGGTCCGGTTCCTTCTCCCAAACCCACCAACCCAATCATTGTCACTCAAATTACCACAAACTTGCTAATTTGTAACTGGGAGTAGTGATAGTACCTGTGTCCAGGTTGTGCTGTGGGTTAGCTGAGGTGGTATGTCTAAGTGCGCACTTGGGACATTTTCTGGTGCAAGGTTAGTACTCAACCCATGTTAGCCATTCTTGTTATCATCTGTTCCCTAATACAAACTCTTCAATGGGTCCCCATTGGCCACAAGATAAAGGTTGAACTCCTTTCACAGAGAACAGGTTGTTGTTGACTTAAAACAACAGAAACATATGCTATCACAGTTTGAGAGGCCAAAAGTCTGCAATCCAGGTATCATCGGGGTGACTCCTGGAGGCTGTGAGAGAATCCACTCCATGCTTCTCTCCTAGCTACTGTGGCTGTCAGCACCCCATAGCACTCCTTGACTTGGGGACACACATCACTGCAGTCTCCGCCCCCACCTTCACATGGCCTTCCCCTCTGTGTCTCTGTGTGTCCCTTCTGTCTTCTAAGGACACCCTCATTGGATTTAGAGCTCACCCTAATCCAGTGTGATCTTATATCAATCTTTTAATTACATCTGCAAAACCATATTTCCAAATAAGATTACATTCAGAGATTTTCAGCAGACATGAATTTTGAAGGGACGTGTTTCAACCACAAAAAGGACAAATTAGTAAGGGAATAAGGTAAGACAAGAGCGTTCCCATAGGGAAGTTTATCCTCAAGAAGACATAATGTGGTAAAGAGGTTTCCTCCTGGGATTGGTAGACACTGGCATGGCTGCTTTAACAGAGATCAAAATAACGGTGGCCAAAGCATAACAGAAGCTTGTTTCTCTTGCACATAAAATCTCAGCCAGGGGGATACAGATGTTCTACTTCACAAAGTTCTTCAGGGCTTCTTTTATCTTGTTCTAACATGCTGTTCAAGATGCCCTTAACCCCAGAGACAAAGATGGCTCACCAAAAAGGGCCACACTTTTGCCAGCAGGTAGTGGAAGAGGAAGTGGAAGGCATCTGGCTTTATTCTAAGGGTACAAGCAAAAGATTGCACATAACACCTCTGCTCACACCCATTGGCCCAAACTTAGACAGTCATGCCTCACTGCAAGGGAATTTGGAAAGTCTAGTCTTTGGCTGAGAGGTCATGGAACCAGCTAAAATTTTGGGGATTAAATTTCTAAATGAAAGATGGGGAGATTGATCGTTGAGGGACAACTAGCGTAAAGTGTAAGAAATACCTGATACAGGGTAAGAGGTCAGTAAATTGTAATGTTGATCTTCTGCCATGATATTGCTGACAACTTATTCTTGCTGGTCACACGCTGATAAGCCTCTATATTCACCCCTGACCCTGGCACCTGTCACTGTAGTAACCCAAGTACAGACAGATCATGACTCCACAGTCTTGAGATGGACCACTTTTCTTCACACTCCTTTACTTGGCTCCCCAAGTCGGCTGCCCTCAAGGATGCCCCCGTCTCCAGCTTAGCCTTGGACCCAAGGTTGCAAAGTCCTGGAGAAGGGAGGCTCCCCCCAAGTCCCCCAAGCTCTGACTGCCAGGAATACCTTGTGTTCCGGAATCTGAACCCCCAGGCACTGCATGCCTTGCCCATTCTGCACGGTTGCCTTCCTGTATACTGGAGGAGTTTGTGGAAAGAATTTTCTGGCATTAGAGGGTGAAAGTCAAAACAGTAATTACAAGAACATCTGTTTCTGAGTGGAAAGCATATCCCCTGCACACCAGGAGATATGCCTGCACAGTTCAACAAGCAGGATGTTAAAATGGAAGAGAGTGTTCTGGGAGGGAGGACTAATGGCCCCAGCCATGATGAAGGCTCTGCTTCCTGGGAGGATGCTGCACTGGGAAATAGGGAGAAAGGAGTGTGGGGAATGAGTGAGTGAATGCATGGAGAAGGGAGTGAATGAAGGACAGAAAGAATGAAAATGGTGAATGAATGAGTGACTTAATGAATGAATAAATGAATAAATAAGTAAAAAATGAATCCATGAATAAATAAATCAATGAGTAAGTAAATAAGTGAAGAGGCTAATGAGCGAATGAGGGAACGAGTGTGATTTTGAGGAAATAGATGAGTGAAAATTGGGGGGAACTGAATATGAGCTTTGGCCAGCAGGTGGTGGAAGAGAAAGTGGAAGGCATCTATAAATGAATGAGTGAGTCAGTAATAGGTAGAAATGAATAAATAATAGAATAAGTGACTGAGTGAATGAGTGAGTGAACCAGCAGTCAGATCACTCTTCTTTTCTGGACAGATGTGTTTGGCAGCAAGACTGGGGTTGTGGGGCAGGACTGGAGCTGGATTTACCTGGAGGCTCAACATCTGGGTCAGCCACACATTAGGACAGAAGGGCAGGCAAAGCTGGAAGAATCATATAATTATAATTATCGAGGTGGGATAAATGTTAAAAGCATCTGGTCCAGCCTCATCCCCCTTTTTACAGATACAGAAACTAAGGACAAAAGGAATGACAAAAAGCATGAAAACAAGACATTCGAAAACAGACTAGCCATATTATCTTGGGCAATTTATTCTTTTTATTTTATTTTTAAATTTAATCCTTAAATTTCAGTTTCTCTATTTGCAAAATAAGGGTGATGTTACCTAGTGCATAGGGTAAGATTAAATCAGATACTACATGCCAAGTGTTATTCCCTATGGTGTTTATCTGGTGATCGGTCGATAGTTTGAACCTAGACACAGCGGTCTGTGTAGACTAAGATAAGATATAACAGCGAAGAACCCCCAAACTCAGTGATGTTGACTCAACAAAGATTTGTTTCCTGCTCATATCACAGATGAGGGCCATGTAGAGCCCCCCTCTTATAGCTCTGCAGTCTAGAAATCATGGCTTTGAGGGTCACCACCACAGAAGAACAGTACAGGGGGCTCATTGTTCTCTTGGCCTGGAAATTACACATCTTCGTGCCACTCACTTCAACATCTCTATAAGGAAAGTGGATATTGGCTACAAAGAACGGGGGCTTTTCAGTGAGCACTGATCATGTCTACCATATACTAGGATTATTTGGGGCTTGTGATCCTGGTCCAATAGAGGTGATGGTCTGAGGAGGAATACTTCTTCAGCTATAGACCCATGCTAGCCGCTTCCTCAGTGGCTGGTGGCCATTGAAACTCCAGATTTAGAGTCAGAGAATTGGTGAATCTAGGGTAACCTCCATTTCTCCTGGCTATGTGATCTTGTGTAAATTATTCAACATCCCTAAGCCTCAGATACCTTCTCCATAAGAAAAGGATAATATAATGCATATATCAGACATTGATTGAGGCATAAATGCGACAGTGTGTGTGGAATCAATTTCAGAAGTATAAGCTACAATGAGAAATGATATTCTTCTCATTCTACTCACCTTCCTCATTCCTTCATGAGAGTACTAATCCTTGCTGAGTACAATGTCACAGTCAATATGTCAAGAACCTTACCTCCTAATTTAATCTTCATTGCACCAGTGCAAGGATTGTGCTATTAACTCTGACTTACAGGTGAAGACCTGGAGGCTTCTCAGGGAGAAGAAATAAGTTGCTGAGACATTGTAGCTATCATGACAGAGCCAGGCTCAACCCCAGCCATCTTATTCCAAGGCAGGGTCTTGCCTGTGTCTGCAGTTTCCTATGCTTTGGCTAGTATAACGACAACTTTGTAGGGGGAGATCATTCTTTCTTCCTTAAAGAACCTTACCAAAATGTTCTGGTGTGGCCAGAAAAGCTTAAGATTCTATGAGTATTTTTTATTTGTGGAAATGTTGCAAAAGTAGATTTTCTTACTTTGGATTATCCACATTCCCCAGCAAATCTGCAGGAAGTCCTAAGCAGAGATTAGACGGGACATCCAAGGATGCAGGCGCGAGCAGCCCAGAGTGCAGGAGCAGGGTCCCAGGGTCCTGGGCAAGCTGAGATCGACCTCTGAGAGCAGAGGGAAGCTACAGAGCAGAACTGTGCTGGCTTTGCAGGTAGGACATATGGTGGGATGAGGACGATTCTGCCCTCTCCCCAGAGCCTGGACTAGTTAGAACATGCTGATCAAGAAGTTCAGCCATTTCAGCCAAGGTTTCCTGAGCATTTGCTGCTTCCCCACTGCTGTATATACAATGGTAAAAATACACTGTCCAAGGCCTTCTGGAGTTCACAGTAGTGGGACTAATAGACAGTATTCACCAATACAATACAGTGAGATTATGGTAGAAAGTAGGGAGGTATGGAACCCCAGAGAGGAGGAAGGTCAGGCGAGTTTTTACAGAGAAGGCAGCTTGTGGACAAGGCCTTAGAAGAGGAGTAGAAGTGTGGAGATGGTAGATCAGTAGATAGGATGTTCCAGGCAGACACACAGCAGGAACAGAATTGTGGAGGAATAGAAGGACAATGCACAGTGAAGAAATTGTAGCTCTGAAAACTACCTGAGTATTAGGAGAGTACTGAGTTACAGAAGGCAAGACCTGGATCTTCTTTACCACTGTAGCTGTAGCACATAGACCACAGAGCCAGGCACATTGTAGGCACTCGGCACACATTTGCTGAGTGCATGAGTAAATGAATGAAGGTGTGAAAGAAAGAGAGAAAGCAACAGGGGAAGGAAAAGAAGTCAGAGATTTACTCCACGTTGTAGCACAGATTACTGAGGACAGCCACCCAGGGTGTTAGAGACCTGTATAAAAGGAATAGGTGCACAAAGATGTATTGGATCTCTAGGTATCCTGTGGTTATGACCTCTGTGCCTGGCATACAGTACATATGTTTTGAATAGATGAATGAAGGATCTCTGTCTTTGAATAGCTTCTTGAATTAGTATCAGAATCAGACAGCAGAGGCTGTGTCACAGGACCATGATCTGGTCACTGTTCAGCCCTCTGTTGTAACCTTAGTCTCATGGGATCCCTGAACTGGAACAGCTTCAAAGATGAGATACTTCAACATCTTTCTTTGACAGGACAGAAGCTGAGGCTAAGAGACAAGTGGCTTGTCTTACTCCATATCTAATAAATAGAGTTTAGAATGACCAACTAATGTCGTATAGTCCTGGGCTCTATGTCCTGCATGCTACTAACTGGGGGGCTCCTGCAGTGTCCCATCTCCTCTCTGACTACAATTTCCCCCCTTAAAATAAGTGATCTCCAAGTCCCCTTCAGGTCCTCCTCAACCTATCTCATTCATTCAGCAAACATTTGCTGAGCATCCTTGTGTGTCATACTGGGTCCTGAAAGAGATCAGAGAGAGGGTCCCCACTCCTACCCAAGCCCTCAACCTGATCACATTGTCAGCCTTTATCATATATTTTTAAAATGCTTATGTTGTCTGCTGTTCCACCAGACTCAAAGTTACTTGGGGACATATTTGATCCTTGTGCTCCCTTAAATTATTTTTGGAGCAAGGCAGAGAGTCAATGCATAGATTAATTAGTGTATTGATTATTTTTTCTTTGTCTCAGAACACCTTGCACTGGTGGGCATTCACAGGAGACATTTATTGGAGATAGTCAAATAAGCAGAACATTGCACAAAGGGAACAATTGCACCAGCTGGGGAGGAAGAAAAGGGGGGTGCTGCTGGAAGCTCAGGATGGACCCCTGATCTAGACAGAGGGTGAGGAAAGCTTTCAGGAGGAGGTAACCTTCTACTGAGTCTTCAAGGACAAGGAGTTATTCAGGGAAAGATGAGGGTGACTGAAACTAAGGAAAAAACATGTACAAAGTGCTGGAGGCCTGAGAAAGCCTTGCCCATTTCAGAATCTGCAAGTAATTTCTGGTGATGCCAGAATCTCACCCTTCACCTCTCCCCTCCAAGACTTCCTGGTGGGGTGTGCATTACAGACAACATGAACAGGGACCAGAGAGGAACCAAGCTATCCCTGCTGACAAGCACCTGGCAGATCACTCTTCCATGCAGGACTTAGTGATTGGTGCTGGGCTACCAACTTGGGCTACAATGGTCTGTGCAGGACAGACTCTACAGTCACTTCCCCAGGCTGCCAGGTGGCTGGAGCCACAGTGCAAGCCCAGACCTGTCCCTCTGGAGTTTCCTGGGTACCTTTAGCACCACCCAGCCTTCCCTCTAGGCAGGAGAACACAGTGTGCCTTCGCTTCTGCTGGGAGAGTCCAGTCCTAACCATTGATATTTTCTATGTAACTGAAGCTCATCTCTCTTAGGGATAACTTAAAAACTTTATTTAAAGTTTAAATATTTTTGAAGTTAAATTAGTTCTATGGTAGACAACATGTAGGTAGGATGGGACGGCTGGCAGGTGGGAAGGGTTGGGGGATAAAAGGAAGAAATGAGTGTCAAGGAAACCAGTCAGGAGGCTTCAGAATTCCAGACATGACCCAGATACGCATCTTCATGTTTATATCCAAGACCTCAGGAAGAAAGCCTAGGCAAAGATACTCTTAGAGTAGGAATGAGGAAGAAGAGAAAGGAGGCAGGGAGGAAGAGAAGGAAGGGATGGAGGTAGGGAGGGAGGAAAGGAGGAAAGGAGGGCAGGGGGACAGGGAGAGAAAGAAAGAAGGTAAAAAGGAGAGAGGGAGGGAGGGAGGGAGGGAGGGAGGAAAGGAGGGCAGGGGAAGAGGTAGAGAAGGAAGGAAGTTAAAAAGGAAGAGAGGGAGGGAAGGAAGGGAGGAAGGGAGGAAAGGAGGGGAGAGGGAGAGGTAGGGAAGGAAGGAAGGTAAAAAGGAAGGGAGGGAGGGAAAGAAGGAAGGAAGAGAAGGAGGGAAAGGTGAACTATTAAACTCTACTTGGAAACAAACATCAACTATTATTTAAACATCAAATATTATTAAAGAACTAAAACAGCAGGTTTCCGGAGCACTCTGGAGTCTATCTTGATAGGTTGCCGTTGCTCTGGGGTTAATATGAGGAAATGGCATTCTTAAAAACCCATATTAACCTGTCTGTTGTTCTATGGACTGTGACAGCTGCATTTTACATCTTAATGGCTAACCATTTATTTCAAGCCAAAAAAAAAAGAGAGAGAGAAAGAGAGGCATTTTTTAGCCCATGAGGCAAAGACTCAAGGCTGGAAGCTTTGCCCTAGAAACAGATTGTGAGGCAGAAGTTCAGAGTAGGCCAAACGTGGGTTCCACAGGAGCCCCTACTGTGTGCCCCACTTCCATTTGCCCAGATACTCCGGCTCTGTCCCTTTTCTGGGTCCCGCTAGGGTTTGCCTCTCTAGGCCTTCCTTGGGGCTGTTGTGATCTCAGGGGAGACAAGCTACTCACTTGGATAATGGTGAGGTCATGGTAGCAAACAGTACAGGAAAGGGCTCTGAGTGCAGGGAGAAGGAAGGGAGAGCTTGCGGAGAGCAGAGAAGGGAGGGTTGAGCTGACCCAGCTTCAGATTTGAACTGCATGGAAATGTACTCATTCAACAAGTATTTTTTGAGTACCTACTATGTGCCCTGCCCTGGTCCAGAGCAGTGAACAAAATAGATGAGGGTCTGCTGCATGCTTGGCCTCCTGAGGACACCCTGGTAGACAACATACAGGTGGTCCTGCTTCAGGGGGCTTATATTCTAGTTAGGGAGATAGGCATTAATCAGATCATCACTCTGGTAAGTGTGACCATGAGGGCTCTGAGAATGTAGAGTAGAGGAAACTCCCTCCTCTGAGGGGCCAAGGAGCTCTCCTGCAAGTGACTAAGGCTAAGCTGAGAGCTGAAGGGGAGGAGGGGACTCCTAGCCTTGGGGACAGCAGTTACTCCTTGAGCATAATTACCCGAAAGATGCCTGGTTTGGATGGAACTTGGGGAACAAGGGGCCCTGATGGGAATATAACATCAGCAGGGGGTCAGAGGACAAAGTAGACACTTAATGTTTATTTAAGAGTGATATGGTTTGGATGTTTTGTTCCCTCCAAATCTCATGTTGATATGTGACCTCCAGTGTTGGAGGTGGGCCTGGTGGGAGGTGTTTGGGAAATGGGGACAGATCCATCATGAATGGTTTGGTGCTCTCCTCATGGTAATGAGTGAGTTCTCACTCTATGAGTTTATGAGATCTGGTTGTTTAGAAGAACATGGCACCTCCTCTCTCTCTCTCACTCCCTCTCTCACCATGTGATGTGCTGGCTCCCTTTCTCCTTCCCCCATTACTGGAAGCTTCCTGAGGCCTTCACCAGAAACAGATGCCAACACTATGCTTCCTGTACAGCCTGTAGAACCATGAGCCAATTAAACTTTTTTTTTTTTTTAATTACCCAACATCAGGTATTCCTTTATAGCAATACAAGAGCCAACTAGCACAAGCAGCAAGAGGAAGCTCTTGAGGAGCTTGAACAAGGGGTGACATAAGCCTTCAGGGTTTGGCACTGTTTTTAAAACTTTACACACCCAATATTGAGTCTGAAAGCAATCTGATGAGGCAGTGAGTTTGAGGTTCTTGTCCTAACCTGACAGATCAGAAAACTGAAGTCCTTCCAAAACGGATGACTTGCTTTACCTAAGATCACTAAGAATTGAAAGAGTGAGAGGATGAGGGTCCAGGTCTTCTGCTCAGGGGATGGTTGGAGAAGCATAGAGAAGAAAGGGGGCTTCATAGACCCATACCCCGCATGAGCAATGGTATAATATGATGTCAGGGGAACTTTGCATGGTTTGGAGAAGAACCCCAGTGTGAAAGGACCCAGCACTGTGCCTCATACATGGCAGATGCTCAGAAAACTACCCTTCCCCTTCCTTCAGCCCGAAGAACCACTGCTTCAGTTTCCCACACTGGCCACCATCATGCCACCTTCTAGGTTAAGGGTTGTTTGGGCAGATATTTGATTTTGGTAGGGATGTGAGAGAAGGGAGACAGGTTGTCTTGTGCTCCTTACCCAAGTCAGGATCCATCTTTCCCAGCTCTGATTGTTCTGCTGGGTGACTTGCCTCTGCCCACACACCGTGCAGGGAAATATGAGAAGACAACTTCCCAGGATTTCTGCTGCTCTGCCCCTGGACCTTGCTGCAATGCTCTACAGTGCTTTGGTCAGAAAAAGTCCTCATCAGAAAGATCTACTTGGGACATGTATTCACTCAAGAAGAATCATCTAATATTCATTTACAAAACCCTTTTCATACATTTTTTCTCATTTAATCCCCATAACAATCTTGTGAGGTAGTTACTCATTACTGACATTTTATAAAAGGGTTTTGAATTGGTTGTTATTCATGGCATACATAACAAGTCAAAACCCAAGCACAGGTCCTCTCTGACCCCAGTCTAGTCATCTTCTAGCTTCCTGACAAGTTTCTATCTTTTATCATCTTTTAGTACTGCCTATTCAGAGACATCACAACAGACTTTCCCTGCAGTAAGGCAAGTGATGGAAAACCATTCTAAAAATGTGCCCAGAATCTTTAGAAGAAAAAACATCCATGTAATTCGTCTTTGGTATGTTTTGTTTAGTGTATACCTTTCTTTTCGATGAATGCCATTGGGTTTTCCTGTGCATTGAAAAGGTGAGTTTGGACATCTCCCTGCTCACTAAAAGGATGAACATTGACCATTTTGGGAGGCTATGTCCAGGAAGTCATGCTTCAGGGAGCCCAGAACTCAGAGTTGCAGTTCCTTCTCTTTGCATGTCCACTGGGCATCAGTAGAGGACTGCCAGCCAGCACAAACGTTGTGGCATTGGAAGGAGTTGGAGGAATGCAGCTGGCTCCTAGCCCCTTTTTTTCCCATTCCACTGGAAGGTTGTGTTCATTCAAGCTGTTAAATCAAAAATAAATTATTGTAATCCATTTGCTAATTATACCATGCTAAAGTTCTAGACGCTGTAAATTACAGCCGTGATATATCTAGATGAAGTTTCTGGGAGTTTATTTTTAGCCATTCAGAGAGCACTCAATTTCCTAGAGGCTTCATTTGCAAGTCCAGGAGGGAACAGGGAAAATGCATCTGCACAACCCTTCTTGGCCCATGACCTGGAGTCAATGAACCTCTGTAAAAGAAAGTGGTTGTAGTAGTTCACTTTGAAGGTCTTGTCTATCTTTAAAGCTCTAACTCTCATTTTCTGACTATGAAAAGTAGAATGTAACCAAACACGGGTTTTCAGCTCCTGGTTGATCATTGAGAACATCAAAAGCCACCACACCAACATATTAATATTTGTGAACCATGGAACACAGATCTTCAGAAACCTCAGGCTCAATGGACACATTGTGCCTCTTTTCTAGTCCTTGCTTTTTTGAGGGGTGGAGAGAGGATGGAAGGATTTTATGTTTATTTAGCACCTACTCTTCACATAATACACTGCTTGGTGCTTGCATCTGAGTGATATTTGGATGGCCTTCTCCATTCAAGGACAATGTCACCTAATTTTAATCCATCAGTCACTCATTGACATCTGTGTGCCAGCCACTGGGGTTGGTTCTGAAAATATCTGGGGTAAATTAGATGCATCTCCTACCTCCAAGGAGATAAGAGGTGGAGATAAAGCATGCACTGAAAATGCTGAAGTGCTTTTTGAAATGCACTATTACCTACAAATGATTAAATACCAAGTGCTGGCAGAGAGAACACAGAGAGATGCATTGTGAGGGGTAAAGGTGGGTGTCTAGGTTCATCTGTGCCTGTTGGGGAAGAGAATCAGGGAAGATTTCAGGGATAATGAGGTATTTGAGCCAGACATGATATGTAAATGTGACTTTAAAATGTGGGGATTGGGTAAGGGAAATTGCACAGATCTAGTTTAGTGACCTCAGAAAGCTCCCTGGTCAGGTCCCATGAATGACTGTCCTTGACCAGTAATTAACACATGCCATGCAGAGCACATCCCTTCCCCAAACACCACAACTTCTAGCAAGTTTTCTTCAATTTTGACCACAGTGTGGTATATTTTTTCAAAGAGTGAACATAAAAAATCCTTTGGAACAATTCCTTTGTCTGGATGCTTCTTGTGTTTAGACTTCTAGATAAGCAATCTTCTACCGTATTTGTGTAATTCTTGGGTGGAGAAATGGATGCAGAGTCAGATGGATGAATGGATGGTTTCATATCATTGTAGAGCTGCCACAGCAAAGAGATGGAAGCAATGAAACTGGTTTGGCTTGCTAATAGCTTTGTGGGAAGAGCTGAGCTTTGAACAATAAACAGAATTTTCTCAGCACACAGTATGGATAAAGGCCTTCCCTTCAGAGGGAAGCAAAATGGGAGCATGAAATCCATGACATCATGGAAGAATGGTGAGTCACAGAAGCCATGGAATAGGAAGACAGAACGAGTTAATGTAGTGGCTGAGAGCACACGCTATGATTGGATGGATTGCGGTTTGAATCCCTGTTTTGCCACATAGTAGCTGAGTGATCCTGGGCAAATTACGTAACTTTTCCAAGCTTCTATTTTCTCGTCTGTAAAATATGAATATTAATAATATGTACTTCATGTGGTTATTGTGAAGATTAAGTAGAATAAAATAATGTTTAGCACAGTGATTGGCATGCCCTTAATAAAGGGTAGTTTATGGTTATTATTTTATAAAAACACTTCTAATTAAATTTTGAAAATGCCCATTCAAATGGCAGAATTTGTGAAGGAGGCAGAGAAAGTCCTCGAGGGGAAAGGAGAAGAACCAGGAGAAACTGGTGTTGCTCATGTGGAGGCAGGAGTTTCCAGAGGGGAAGAGGGGTCCCTGCTAGCAAATGACCCAGAGAGGCCACTGCAGATTGAGAAGAAGTGTCTGGAATATGCAGTGACAACATCCCTATGATCTTAAAGAAAGGGGCTGAAAGCCACAGGCAATGATTTGTGAAGAGCGTGGGAGTGGAGGAAGTGGTGGTCTAGACGACTCTTTCAGGAAATCTCTCTGAAAAGGAGAAAAAGAACTTGGGGGTAGGACAGGGGACAAGGTCACGGGAAGGGCCGTTTGTTAGATGAAGAATATTTGAACTCAACAGTGTTTCTCGACCTTTCTAAACTCATGCCTGCTTTAATAGACATAAACATCACTCTGCCCTGCAACAAGACTGATGTTCTGGCACCCAAGACCTAACACCAGCCTTATTTGAGAGTCACATCTGCCAGGAGGATTTTGTCAGGATTTACTTCCTGTGTTATATTTTTAAAACAGTAGGAATTTAATGATCTGTTGGAACCAAGCCGGTAAGAAATGTTGTAGGCATTGTGGGTAATAACGAGGATGGATTTGAAAGATAGTAAGAAGACTGTACTGAGCAGGGGTGAGGAGTGAGGGGCAGAGGCGAGTCAGAGGGATCCTGGGGTTCTGGCATGAGGACTGAATAAATCACTGCACCAACTGGTGTGTGTCCTTTTTCTTTGTGGGTTCCCACCCCTACCTGCCTAGGTGACATACAGGTTTAAGACCAAATGACAGACGTGGTCATTGTTTAGAAACTTTTAAGTACTTTATAAGTGTAGGACATTGTTATTGATACTGTTACAAGGAAAAAAGAGCACACCTTGATCTTTCCTTGTGCACTCTCTGTCTTTGTCAGTGAGTATAATTTTATACTCACGGTATACTGTATACTGTGTAAAATTATACAGTATAATTTTATACTCAGTGTGAGGGAACTAATGTGTATTGCTCACATACCTGATTACAGGTGAGGAAATGGAGATGCAGAAACATTTAAAGAAAGCCAACCCAAGATCAACCCGACAGCTAGAGAATGCACACTCTTTCTAAGCACATATAAAACACTCATGAAAATGGACTGTATCCTAGGCCATAAAATACATCCCAATAAATTTCAAGGAGTAAGTATCCTACAGACCACATTCGCCTACCACAGTGCAATTAAGTTAGAAATCAATAACAGAAAGATGAGGTGTTTTTTAAAAAACCTATATTGAGATATATTTATAAAAATACTTCCAACTAACTCACAGATCAAAAAGAAATTATAACAAATTATAAAATGATTATAAATGAATGACCAAAGAAATATTAAATATCAAAAGTTGTGGAATATAGCCAAGACAGCACTTAGAGAGAAATTTATCGCCTTAAATGCCTATATTAAAAAAGAAGAAGAGCTGAAAATTAATGAATCGGCTAAGTATCCAATTTAGGAACAACAGCAAATATAAATAAATAAACCAGCCCAGAGTTGTGCAGTCAGAAGTGGTGGGGCCAGGTTTTGGGCATAGCTATGGCTGGCTCAAATCTCTCACTCTCTTTACTCCACTGGTACCTTTCTCTGTGCTGCTTTCCATTATATGCCCAGTACCTGGAAATTCTCTCTCCCTAAGAGTTGAAGAGATGAGGCTACAGAGTAACTCCCTGCATGAAAGGTTGATGATAAATCCCACTTATTTTCTCAGCCATCCTTTTACTTGTCCATCAACTACTTAATGAGCATTTGCCATGTGCCAGGCACTGTGCTAGTAGCTACTTTAGTTGCATCTTTCCTCTGAGTGGCCTAGGACCAAAGCTCATACTGCTGCTACTAATGCCCACGCCCATGTCTCACCCCCACCTCCCAAGCTGCCAGAAGCTTCTCTGCTGCTTGTCAGAACAGCATCCTCGTCAAAAATGACTGATTTCTCTCTTGTCTCTTTCAACAGGTAGACTGAAATTACCATGTGTCCAAATTAAAATTGCATACTTCAAGGATTATTTGAAGGACTATTCTTAGACCCTTTTAAGAAGATTTAAAGAAAAGTGAGTTGATTTTTTTTACACTTCAGAGAGTATTCCTGATTTAAGTTAATGTTATGGGTTCTTTTTTTCTCTACCTCTTAAATATGCGTTAATAGGTAGACTTTATCTTCATTTATTTTACAATAAATATTTTTTTTCCTTAAGAACAATGAGCAAAGAGTACAGGATTACTGCTTGCCTTCCCTGCAAGATTTTTATATGTTTCAAAGGCTTATGGAATCTTAGAGATAAAAAGGTTTTAGAGGCTTGGACCATTCCCTCCTGGATGCCAGGAAACCCATAGCAGCATCTCCATAGATCTCTGACCTGTTCTTGGAAACTTGCAGGGACTGGTATGGAGGTTGGTATCTCCCCACACTTAGGATTTTTGTAGAGCTCTCCCATAATCTGAACTTGAAATCTACTCCACATCTTGCCAGGTCTCTTTCTTCTCTACTAGACATCCTAAAATAGGTGAATGTAAATAGCATGAACCTCCTCAAGATCTTTTCTTGTTCTTTGTTCCTCCAATAATTTCTCATAAGTTGGTTTCAAGAGCAGCTCCCACCCTGGTCACTTGGAATACAGACAGAGCACCTCCAATGATCTTTGCCCAGTAGATGGGTAAGAATCAAAGCAGGGTAAACCCAAAGAGCAGGCCTGGGTTTAGCCCCAGTTCTACTCTTATTGTGTGTTCAGGAAAGTCACTTCATCATTCTGAGCTTGGTGAAAACAAGGAAGGTAGGAGGAGATAGTCACTACCATGCCTCTGACCTCCATTTGGATCGTTTTGCTGACTCAGAGTAAAGAAGTTGCTGCTTCTTACTGTCTCAGGCACTGGAATGGGCCAGGACTTGGGAATCCATGGAATCCGGGTCCAATCCAAACCCTATCACTTGCTGACTGTGTGGCCATAGACTGCCATTTCTCATCTCCGATCATCTGTTTCCTCATTTGTTAAATGAGGATGTCAATAAATGTTGTAAAGGATTGCGTGAGGATGTACTGAGATAATGTACATAAAGCACCTAGTACCTGGTACATAGAAAGTGTTCAAAACATGACAGTTGCTAGTATGATTATAAGTAATGGTGGAACTACTTACTTTTAGCCAGAGGAGAAGATAGGCGGTGCTAGAGACTCTCATAAGAAAAGAAAAGAATTGGGCATACTCATTAGGGATAGAGTAGTGTCCACATCTCATAAACTCTCATGCAAATATAAGCCCAACCCCAGAAAATTCATGAGGTTAAAACTCTACTTCTCAGAGTCAGACAAGGATAATGGGTTGCTATGGAAATATACAGTTAAAAGGGAAATTTTAGAGTGGGTCCAAGAAGCTGCATGAATCCTGCCAATCTCTCACTGATGCCATAGCCCTGGTCCTACATGGTAAGGATTAGAGCCCCCCCGTAATCAAGGTCCTTAAACACACAGACTTGGAGGCCTGCAAATCATCAAGTATTTATATATGTTCAGAAGGCTGGTGGTGAGTGTTGGGTGAGAGATTGAGTGTGAAAGAGATTTGTAAACTGTAAAGTTTCCTATACATGCATGTGCCTTTGTGTGATTCATGTATTATGGACTGTGTCAATACTTTGCAAATCAGGAGAAAGAGGGGAACTCAGATGAGCTGACTGTGAAGTGAAACTGTAGAGTCCAGCCCCACTGATTTCTGAGTGAAATAGCATATATGTATGCATACATATACATATCTGTATACCCACATGTCACACATGTGTGTACATGCACACGTGTGTTTTTGTTCATATGTGTGTGAATCTTTGACCCTTCGGAGGTAGTCACCACTCTTTATCCAGTGACTGGCTGCCTCTAAGGAGTGTAACAGAGGAATGAAAACACAGTCTATGTTGTCAGTCAGCCTAGCTCTATAACTTACTAGCTATGTGGCCTTGGCCACATTATTTGTAAAAGTGGTACAGTTTTCACCTTCCTGGAGCTGAAAGTCTGTGGATAAGGCTGCTCTGAGGAGCTGGGAGGATGCAGCAGAGAATGTACCTCTCACACCAAGAAAGTGCTTAGGATATGAGAGAGTCTGTCTCCCTTGGTTAATGGCTTCTTTTTTTTCCTCGGAGTTTAGGGGATGTTGTCTTAACCTGTTAGATAAAAGGAACCTCTGGAGTTATATTTGGTTCCATAAGACCATGCCCCTGAAGACCCAGGTACCTCAGTGGCTAGAGAGATTGTGTAGGAAAACGCACCCTTTAGTCCTGTTGAAAGGGCTAATTTCAGGGGTGTTCCCACACCTTGGCCATCCTTCTGAGTCTCTTCCCTCAGTCTGGGCCATGGAGCTGGCAATTATTAAATTCAGAAGAAGAATTGGAAACTATTGTCACTCAAGGTATAGAACAGAGTTTTTCTTTAAATTTGGAAATTAAATATAGCTAAAATCCTGGCCTTTGTTTTCCAAACAGTGGCTCACAGTAGATTCAGAGGTGTTGATCCAGGCCAATGTTGGTGTGGATGCCACAAGCTAGAAATGCCCCTTTCTGGGCTATTCAGACCCAGGAAAGACTGCATAATTGTGTATCACAGGGTGTTTCAAATTGTGGGTTGTAGTTCAGTAACAGGTCACGAAATTAATTTGGTGGCTCGAGATCAGCATTTATTAAAGTAAAAACAGAGTAATCTAGTAACCCATAGAGTAGGTAAAGATATTGTATATTTGCACTGTATATACTCAACAAAGGTTTCATGTCCAAATATATATGGTAGAAAAAAAGAAGAAACTCCTATAAATCAGTAAGAAAAGACAGACAATCTAATAGAAAAATGGGCAAAAGAATCAGATACTTCATAAAAGATGTTCAAATAGCCAAAAAAGCACATAACATTATTATTCTTCAGGGAATGACAAATTAAAACCATAATGAAATACTACTATGTATTCATCAGAATGGCTGAAATGAAAAATATAGACTCTATCTAATGTTGGCAAGGATGTGAAACAACTGAAACTCACACACTGTTAGCTGAAATGTAATTGGTTTGAGGACATTGGAAAAGTGTTTGGCAATATCAACTGAAGTTGAACATATACATACCAGCACTTTCACTCCTTGTTATATACCCCTGAGATATACACATAGATATCCACCAAAACACATTGCCATCCGCCCTGGAATGGATAAAGTGTAGCATATTCACATAGTGGAACATTGCACACAGCAATATTGATGAACCTCAGAAGCAAGAAGTTGAAAGAAAGAAGCAGGCACAAAGAAACTTTATGACTGCACTTTTTAAAAGTACAAAACCAGGTAAAACTACTCTGTGTTATCAGAAGTCTGGATGGTGGTTGCCCCCGAGGAGGGGTTGGTAAATGGGAAGGAGTGCAAAGGGGCTCTCTAGTCACATTCTGCCTTTTGATTCAGAGGTAGGAGGGCAGGTTAAATGGCTATTGTCAATTTGTAGAAATGCATCAAGCTATTCATTTATGATATGTACCCTCTACTGTACTTAAATCACACTTCAGTAAAAGTTTATAAAATGAGTGTAACAGAGAAGAAAATATAGCAGGTCATAAAGGTAAACATCATTAAGTGAAACTTCAGTTACATATCCCTCTAAATATGTGTGTATAGACAAAGTTGAGGTATGGAGTGTATTTCTTTTTTAATTTTTTTTTAATTTTTAGTTTTTATGGGTTCATAGTAGGTATATATATTTATAGGGTACATGAGATATTTTGATACAGGCATACAATGCATGCTAATCACATCAGGATAAATGGGGTATCTGTCACCTCAAGCATTTATCATTTATTTGTGTTATAAATATTGAAATTATACAGTTTTAGTTATTTTTAAATGTACAATAAATTATTGTTGACTGTAATCAACTTGTTGTGCTATCAAATACTAAATCTTATTTATTCGTTCTAACTATATTTTTTGTACCCACTTACCATCCCCACTTCCCCATGCTCGCTACCCCTCCCAGCCTCTGTTAGCCATCCTTACATTCTTTATCTCCATGAGTTCAATTGTTTTAATTTTTAGTTCCCACAAATGAGTGAGAATGTGCAAAGTTTGTCTTTCTGTGCCTGGCTTATTTCACTTAACGTAATATCCTCCAGTTCTATCCATGTTGTTGCAAATGACAGGATCTCATTATTTTTTATGCCTGAATAGTATTCCATTGTGAATATGTTCCATATTTTCTTTATCCATTCATCTGTTGATGGACACTTAGACTGCCTCCAAATCTTGACTATTGTAAATAGTGCCACAGTAAACATGGAAGTGTGGATATCTCTTCAATATACTGATTTTCTTTCTTTGGGGTATATACCTAGTAATAGAATTGCCGGATCATATGGTAGTTTTATTTTTAGTTTTTTGAGGAACCTCCAAACTGTTCTCCATAGCGGTTGTACTAATTTTCATTCCCACTAACAGTGTATGAGTATTCCCTTTTCTCCACATCTTCGCCAGCATTCATTATTGCCTACTTTTTGGATAAAAGCCATTTTAGCTGGGATGAAATGATGTCTCATGTAGTTTTGATTTGCTTTTCTCTGATAATCAATGATGTTGAGCACTTTTTCATCTACCTGTTTGCCATCTGTGTGTCTTCTTTTGACATTCTTCTATTCAGATCTTTTGCTCACTTTTTAATCAAATTACTAGATTTGTTTTCCTGCTGAGTTGTTTAGGTCCTTATATATTCTGATTATTAATGCCTTGTCAGATGGATACTTGGCAAACATTTTCTCCCATTCTGTGGGTTGTCTCTTCACTTTGTTGATACTGTTTTTCTTTGCTGTGCAGAGGCTTTTCAACTTGATGTAATCCAATTTATCCATTTTTCCTTTGGTTGTCTGTGCTTGTGAGTTTTACTTGGAAAATCTTTGCCTAGTTCAATGTCCTGGAGAGTTTCTCTAATGTTTTCTTTTAGTAGTTTCATAGTTTCAGGTCTTAGATTTAAGTCAGTAATCCATTTTGATTGATATTTGTATATGGTGAGAGGTAGGGATCCAGTTTTGTTCTTCTGTATAT